CTCCAGCGCCCTCAATGACGAACTATGGCTTTGAAGCAGGGCTCCTTGATTTTTGATGGAGGTCGCATGATCTTGCAGCATTATCTTTGTTGTTGCAATGAACTCTTACATTGTGGCTTCCAACGAACTGGTATTTGATGAAGATGGCCATCCCTTGTTAGAACTATGCCAAGGCATATTCATTTGAAATCCCTGGGAGTCATTGAAATTCTGCTGCCAAGCTGGTTGATGAGCATTATTGTTTCCTTGATTTTCCCATGAAAAGTTTGGATGTTGACGTCATCCAGGATTATATGTGTTGGAATAGGGGTTATTGATCTTGCAGTCACTCTCATTGTGATTACCGTGGCATAATAAACATGTTGAATGAGCTGCCTTCACTTCTTTCACCTCGCTTGGCCGTTGCAAGTTCTTTAATATATTGGTGATAACAACAAGTTAGGCTGACACCGAATCCTTAGAATCTAGCTTAAAAGCTCCATGAGATTTGCACCCAACTCCAAGTCTTGTGGATGAAAACTGATAATCGTTAGTGGCAATCTTATCCAGAATCTCAAATGCCTCTGCTGGTGATTTGTCAAGCAACGTCCCATTTGCCTAGGCATCTAGCATCATCCTCATGGGTGCGTTTACTCCATTGTAGAACATCACCACTTGCGTCTAATCTTGAGAACCATGATTTGAGCACTTGCGAAGCAATGCCTTGTATCGATAGCACTCATACATCGACTCGTCATTAGCTTGACGAAAAGAAGCAATGTCGTTCCTCAATTGGGTGTTCATGTTTGGAGGATTATACCACAGTAAATTTTTTTTACACAGATCAGCCCACAACTCTATAAAACCCGCGGGAATGCCACTTAACCAAGCCCTTGCTCGGTCACGCAAAGAATATGGAATTAGCTTTAATTTAAGAACATCTTCGTGCACCCCCTTGTTGGCGAAAAAAATCACACACCTCCAGGAAGTTACGAATATGTTGTCTGGCATCTTCATTTGACATGACCCTAAACTACCCTATGGAGTTTAGCATATTGAACATGTCAGATTTAAGCTCGAAGTGGGCTGCCTGAATCTCTGGTGCCACAATTCCAGGATTTAAATTGTCTAAAATCGGGTTTAAGTGATCAAGAATGGCACGAGGTCTGGGTGCATTCCCAGCAAATGGATTTGCCTCGACATTCTGATCCTCCTCATGACCAATGCCTGGATTTCCAATTTGGTACATAGTTACACGTTGAGCACGTCTTCTTCTCCTAAAGAGCCTCTCGATCTCAGGTTCAATTGGTTATAATGGCTTATCAGGGTTACTTTTGGTCAAACACCATGAAATCCTGAAAAAGATAAGAAAAATAAAGGGTAAAACTATATAAAAGAGATATAAACAAGTAAAATAAAAATGTTATGACAAAACAATTTAACTTCCAATTGCCAATTCCCTGACAATGGCGCAAAAACTTGTTTATTTTTTGTGAGTACTATAAATGGGTGCGCATATATGTGCAAGTATACACAATCGAACAAGTAATACAATGATAAGTTGAGTATCGTCTCCACAGGGAATTGGGGAAATCAAATAGGTTTGTCAAGGCACTTTACTTTGTCACCTCAGTAAAGTTAGTGATGGTATATACAAATGAGAATGTTGTGGCAAAATGGAATGACTGATGTGAAAAGAGAATGGTGGTAGTGTGGTCGCAATTGAATATGTCGAGGCAAGTTGGATGAAATGCCGTGGCAAATTCAATTGTGATAAGTGCAAACAAATGGAAATGTCAAGGCAAAATAAAATATAAATATACGACTTGATTTATAGGACTTTAGCCTTCTCACACGACAAGCTGCTATAGGAATGAGTGATAGGAGTCACTAGGAAAATCTAAATCTATTTCTTCGAATGATATTTCTTCTATGCCTAGACTGCCCGACAAAGTCTACTAAGGTGCCCTATGCTATCTCTAGTAAGGGACTCGATAGATTAAATATGCCTTGGCATAATCAATTGGCGTAAACCCCTGCAGTGATCCTATTGGTCCAGATAACAGGATATGTCTCGGTAATACCTTTTTGTGGCAGCATTAACATCTAACCTATCATTTTTGCACAACTTCTTTTATTAGAATGAAATCCTAACCTTATCTCTAAGGTGGATTAGGCCTAGTTACTACCTAGAACCCCTTTCTTATATAGTTCCTCCCTAGTTTCTCTCAAACACTAAGGATAATTTACCAAGGCATTCTCTCGAACCCTCAAGACCTCCTAAGGAAAGGCTACTCTCGTAGCTCCTACAACCTTAAGGCATTAAGTTTCATAAACAAAGCAGGTTAAAGCATAGAAAAGCAACCATTCATTGAAATATAAACTTGAACATCGAAGCAAACTCCCACCAAATAGGATTAGTTCATGGTGGGGTTAAAAATAAACAAGCACAAAGCAAGTTTCATATGTTCCTTACAACCCAATAACAAAATATGAAAGAAAAGAACAAATGGGAGGAGAGAAAGCCTTCGACGTGCACTGCCCAATGCTTCTCTCGGCCACCAAAAACTGCTCCCAGTGAACTGGCTCCTCTTGGATGCTCAGGACGCCACTCCCTCAGGCTTGTCTAGAAGAAATGCCAAGGAAAGTAAGATTGACGGAGAAAGATGAAACATTCTCTCTCTAACTTTTTAAGCTCAAATTTGGGTGGAACCAAAGTCTTCAATAATGTGGCTTCATCCTCTATTTATAGGGGAAAACTAATCCTAGGACTTGGTGTTGACTTTCCTAGAAAACCCCAAAACCATGGTTAAGTTGCTTGAGAGTCGTGCAGAACAGGCTATTATACAACCTGGGTAGCTGGTTGAGTGGCCGACATAATTTCGTTTCAGGCATCCTAGGACAAACAAGATCTGCAGGGTAAGGCGACGTCATCAGCAGAACCGGCAGTTGTAGTACTGGTCCCTGCAGGTGGATCTTCGAGGTGGATTCCTCGGGAAGAGTTCTCGGAAAGTCGGAGACAACTGGCTTCAAAAATATCTTCTAGCACTTTAAGCGCTATCGAAATCCCAGTCGAACTTGGCAATTTCATTTTGCTAAACAATCTCCTTATGTCACATCATTTTCTTTTCTTTTCTCCTTGCTTTCAATTCATGCACATCATCAAACAAGCACCCTTCCCATAAGGTAGCATCGCTTTAAAAATAAAATGTCGCGACAAACTGAATTCCACCACAGGTAACTAAATGCTTCTAAATGAATCTACATGGTCCTATATGAGCTATTAAACACTCAATAACTTAAGTGAAAAGGTCCCAAAATGTGATATTTTGCGGAGTTATCACTACAGTACTGCTACAGTACTTTTATAAATACGTATAACTTCATAAAAACCTAAGCTTTCATCCGTATAAAATTTATCAATTACATATACGTATTTAAAACATTACAAAACTCAATCGTATGACTTTTCGAAACTAATTAGAACATATCAGATTTAATCCTTTATTTACATGCCAACCACTATCCTTATTACAAAATACATACTATATATTTCTTTTCTGATCTGATCTTTGGAAAGGAGAAACTGACCTGTCTTGCATAACTTTTACCAACCTTCCTTTTCTCAAAAACTACGCGTGAAACAATCACACGCTAAGTCGTTGACTTAGTGAGGCATATAAAATATAATTATATGATAACTGTAACTTCTACAACGCTTGAACATTTGATATTACCTTATCATACCAAAGTATATATTCTTTTATGTAATATATACATACATGCACATATCATACAATATAATATCATTAACATGCTTATCATTTCTCATTTTATCATCACTAATTTCTTTATATACCATATCAACATATAATTCCTATAACATTTCATATCATCAAAAGCATATACATCACATATATTATATTTGTGTTATCTCTTTAATTAACCCATGGTACACTTGTGAGAACTAAGGATATGTGAATGCATTGAGGTTATGCACAAATGTTGTCATCGTAACTCGTAAAATTCCCACTAGGGGCACTGAAATTTGTCTCGAAGGACCACTATGTCTCGTATGACCACTGTATTGTCTCGAAGGAGCACTGTATTGTCCCGAATGACCATTATATCCTGTAGGACCACTGTATCCCTCGACTCTTGGTATGCCAACTATACCACTAGCTTTCATATCACATAACATGGGCAATATCATTTATATAATTTCACATATTCACATGCACATTTCATTTTTCATATGTTTTCATAATCATATGTCACTTAGCTTATAACACTTCTCTTGTGTTCATATGACATGTAAATCATTGTCATCTCTTGTTATCATATGATTCACATACATCACTTATTACATATATTATATGCACATACTTCAATATCATTTGACTTATTTCACTTTATTACATTAAAGGATAGACATATAGTCTTATGTGCCCTATCAATAGTATCTATTCATATAATCTTCTTTTACCTTATCAATAAATACTACTTATTTTATCTCACCTTTTCATTTATTTACATAAGCCACTTAGCACTTACAAGAACATATCCACTAATATAATCAAGCATACACACACACACACACATATATATATATATATATATATATATATATATATCACATACCATAACATTGGAGGAATTATTTCTTACCACAATAATTCTGTCACTGGCTAATCGCAAGCCAATGTTTATTCAATAACATAAGTACAATTAAATTGCACTCACCTTAGCCTTACTTTGATTCGATCCTAATATTTTGATTATTCCAGACTTGTTTAGGCTCAATATCTACATAAATATAACATTTCAAAACAATTATCAGAAGCCTAAACCTTAAACTTGATGTTAATAACTTAAGTCGATTTAATGAACCAAAATTCCATTTTTCCAATAGGGGGAATCGATACCCCCAGACTTCCCTCGTTCTAATTTTCTTGAAGCTAGACTGAGGGACAGATACTCTTATGCGTGGGCAAGCATTCTTAAGGCCAATGATGCTCTAAATGAAGGCTTCCTCTGAAGAGTTAGGATTAACAGCTCCAAACGGGTGTTCCTGGACAGATGGGGGGACTCAGGCCCTCTTTGGTGGAATGGAAGATACATGGATAACAATGTTGATCCTGTTAAGGTGGCATATTTTATGCTTCCTGATTGCCCCAAATGAGATGTGAATAAAGTTCGTTCGGTGCTATCAAGGAAGATGCAACAAAGGTTCTGGAAACGTTGATAGCAACCATTTATGGGGATAAAATCCTCTGGTGCCACCATAGCTCAGGTTCATACTCGGCCAAGTCAGGTTATAATTGGTTGAAGCTTCATAATAGCACGGCTATGGTCTCCGAGAAAATTTGGAATACTATTGCTAAGGCAAATGTTCTCCCAAAAATTCTAATCTTTGGTTGGAGACTCTGTCATGAAGCCCTTCCTTCTGGGGAAAAACTTAAACAGAACAGACTCGACGATGGTATGTGTAGCCTCTGTAACGGTTCGATGGAGTCAGCTCTGCATGCGATTAAGGATTGTCCTAAGTCGAAATCTATCATCAGTCTATCGGGACTTCCCCAAGCTATTGTTAAGTGGGAAGAGACCTCCTGCTTTGAATGGATTAAATTCTCGTTCCCTATACTAAACCGATAAGGATTTGATTTATTCCTCATGCTACTTTGGAATGTTTAGAATCATAGGAATAAATGGATCCATGATGTTGAGCTGTAAACGGATAAAGATGTCATCTTAAAAGCTTGGAATCTTCTTGGTGAGTTTAAACAGGTTTCCAATCCGTTCGCTTGCCTTAGCAGAGAGACTCCTCCCCACCGAATTCGCAAGTGGAGTAAGTCGGCGCAGGGATTTATTAAGATCAATGTGAATGGAGCGTTTAGTCAAGAATCTTATAAAGCCGTTATGGGGGTCGTGGCACGAGATTCGAACGGAATGGTCCATGGAGGAATGGCCAAACAGATTGATCCTCCTAATACGACTGAATCCACTAAAGCTTTTGCGTTTACTCAAGGAATTAGACTTGCTATCGAGAATGGGTGGAACAATGTGTTAATTAAAGGAGATGCTATCTCGGTGGTGAACAGACTGTCAAATAGATTATTGAACAAGACCCAGGACGTCTCTACAATCAGATTGTTGCTCAATGAGGCTCGTTCCCTTCTTGATGATTCCCCATCCTTCAAAGTGCATTATGTATATAGGGAAGCGAACAGAGTGGCTCACAGGCTAGCTCAATGGGCTTTATCAAACCACAATCCGATTTGGTTTTTCCTGGATGAACCTGAATGTATTAAACAACTTGTAATCGTTGATGCCATTGGAATATAAGTCATTTCTTTCCTCAAAAAAATGTTAAAATTCAATGTTGTTAAATGATTTTACTAAGGCTCAAACTTATAAAATTTTAAAAACGAAAATAGGTTATCAACACAAAATATATAATTTAAAAATTTTAAAGATGATTCTCTCAATGGCTTTATCGATCCATTAATGGATGTTATTGATGAAAGGTAGAAAATGATAAGAAAATTTAAAAAGAAAAAAAATTATATTAATATCGTTTTTAAATTTTTAACTGACGGTGATTAAAATAAAATAAAAAGATAGTGATGTTTTTAGAAGAAAAAAAAGTTTTGTGACCAAAATAGGGGAGAAATAATATGTTAATGACTAATTATAATTTATCCTATTAATAAGTGACTAAGCCGAGAAGTGACATAAACCCACAATTAGTATAATTTTTACTTTAGTCCCTTAAAAGTTATGAAATTTTAATTTAGTGTAATAATTAATTGCATTATGAACCTCTAAAATTTTATATATATAAAAATGAGGATGTTACTACATTATTTTGAGGTAGAGAATACCTGGGAAGTTTCTTGAGAGCTTCAACGGCTTCCTCGTAGGACTTGTTTCCCATGTCTTCTCTCTACAAAATTTCAAACCCTCAAATAAATTTTACAAGTTAAAATTTGACTCGTTATTTTATGATTCAATAGATCAGAGCGGAATTCGAAAAAAAATTCGGATTAGAATAAAATATAAATTGTGGGGTTAAAGACGAAATTTTATATTAAAAGGACTGGATTGAATTATTTATTTTAGAGAGGGATCTAAAATACAACCAACCCATTTTATCCAAATGTGTAGAATTTATTCACTAAATGAAGATTAAATTGTGAACGCCGATTAAAAGGGGGAACTAAGCGTTATTTAGCCAAAAGGGGGTGCATTTGATAGTGCGGCTTTTGGTTAATCAACGCCATACACGTGTCAGCAGTTCAGACAGTATGTTGCCATATTCACACAACTTAATTCTATTATCAGGATGAGGGAATAAAATATTGCAACGGTTCGAAAGTACCCTCAATTATTTAACGATAAAAGTTATATATTTTTATAGATGTCGTACTCGAATCTAAAATATAATCTCTTAATCATTGAATTTGTTTGATTCATGCACACAATTTGTTTTTATATATGATTTTTTTAATTACTTCAAATTATTATAAAACTATCATTAAGTGTCTTAAATAGTTACAAAATAGTCATTAAACTTATCAAATTATTATAAAATAATGCTTAAATTTATTAAAATTCATTATTATTTATAGTGTCACAATCAATAAGTTTGATAACCAAAAAAGATCATTGTTGATATAATTATTTAACCTCTGATTTACTTTATTGTAAAGGGACTAATGACATATTTTAATCAGAAAAAAAAAGTGAAAGCTTGGTGAATGAGAGCTTCTACTTCTTGTAGATGAGGTTTGAAAGTTGGAGATTCTTTTTTTTCATTTATTTATTGCATGTTGGACTTGCATTCAACGACCTTTCTCCACGTATACTAAACCCATGGTTTTTGTTGTAACCGTAGAAATATAAATTATATACTATATATATATTAATAGAAACGGACGCATGATTTCATATTCGGAGAAACAAACTTATAAAATTTTAAACAATGAATAACTTATAAAATTTTAAGAAGACGACAACATATTTTTAATAGAAAATACAAAGAAACTATCTAAAATATATAGTAATTTGAAAATTTTAGGGGGACGACCGCCCCCTCTAGGTCCATATATATATGGGTTAGAATCTACTTACACAATGTAAAACTCTTTAGTTTTGCACATATTTAGGACCGTTGGATGAGTGAAAATAGATGACAGATATTGACTCTTTTTTTCCAATGAATATCTTCTCATTTTCTATTGTTATCTCAACCGTTTATTTTCACTCATCCAACGATCCTAAATATGTGTAAAACTAAAAGAATTTTACATTATATAACAAGATCATATCCCTATATATGCAAATATATAAGAACGAAATCGAGATGGAACTTCATGATAAATATAAATATGAATAAAATGATGGTTATAATCAGATTGTTAAATCATCGATTTAAAATTAAAAATAGAGAGCTTTTGAACTAATTTATTTAATTTCAAAAATAAAAGGACCAGAAAGTTTAAACCGAAAAAATGACAGGTCAAGGTTCAATTTGTGTAATTTTAAAATTAAGGGAGACATGCAAACCAATTGTATCAAACAAAATGAGAGGCTGAGATTTAATTATCCCAATTTCAAAACTAAGAGGATCTAAATTGCAATTGAATCCAAAAAATTAGAGGATCAAAACTTAATTTTTCAAAATTTAAGAGGACCAAAAAAGCAATTAAAATCCAAAAATGAATAGAGGTCATGTCCCCTCCCACATTACACATAGCTTCGTCCCTCAATATAAACATAAAATTTAAAACAGGAAAATATATATTACTATTTAATTATTTTACTAAGTTTCGTTGTGACCGGTTAACCGATCAATAGTTCAATTGAAAAATAACAAAACTCTATATATTTTAAAGTTTAATGTAAATTATTTTATGAATATTTTTATCCTTTCCTATCTTTATAAAAAATTTAAATGTATTACTTCGAATTAGTACACATAACCAAAATCTTTTATAAATAAACATTTTACCACTCCACTAATAATCTTTTATTGATTTAATATAATTACTTTTAATGAATTTTACATACATAAAAAAATGTATTATTCACACACATATGCGTATCTCAAATACAAATAAAAGAAAAAAATAAGTAAAATATAGATTTTTCACCACTGATAACCCGCACATTGCAGACACAACTACTCGAGCTCATGATCTATAGGGAGAACAATAATCCTTTTAACCACTGAAAACACTAATGAATTAAAATAAAATATATATTTTTAACCACTAACAACGTACATATATTTTCAGACAAAATTGTTCGAGTCCATGACTTCTAGGGAAAATAACAATCCTTTTAACCACTGAAAACACTTAATGTATTCAAATAAAATATAGATTTTTAACCACTAACAATGCACACACATCTTGTAGACACAACTGTTCGAGCACACAACCTCTAGAGAAAACAACAATTTTTAACAAATGAAACCATCAAATGAGTTCAAATAAAATATGGATATAAAAGTTTGGTATAATGATCTAAAATATAAAAAAAAATTGGAAAAAGAAAATCAATGGTGGAAGAAGAAAGGAGATGATGGGTGAATATGGGGAGTTTCATGGAGATAAGGCCCTATCTCTAAAACATGGCTCACCTCTTGTTTTTGTTTTGAAATATTGTCTCCATCTTGCCATGAAGGGAAGGGTTTTGAGTTTTATGATATTGAGATTCGAATTTTAAATTTCCTTTTTTATATATTTTAAAATATTATATGAATTATGACCATAATGATTCAACATATTGATTGATAATTTAATCTTATAACTTTAATTTTAGAGGGATTAAAATTAAATCGTAACTTGAAAAAAGAATTTAATTTATCAGACACAGAGATTCAAACTCAAAACTTTACCGATACTGATATTTAAAAAATATTGCTAAACAGACATGAAAAATATGGGAAAAATGGTTTGTTAGATGTAAAGTAAGGTTTAGAGCTTACCTTCTTCGTGATGAATGAAGATTAGTCATATCCTTGTGAGATGGCCATTTTTTATCCAACCCAAGTAAGATTTTCCATCAAGTTCTTGTTTCTGCAATGAAGATGGCTCTCAATTTTGCAGATCTTCGAATTCATGGCATAATTTCCTCGAATGAATGTCAGTTTGCGTTCTTGACCGTGACAAATTGAAATATCGACACTTCTGTCTATGAAAACATCTGTCTATGAAGTTGTCAAAAAACTTAAAACATCTTCACCTTCCCTTTAGATTTGATTGAATTTGATTTTGATGGATTTGATAATCTTTGTAATAATGTCTACATTTTTAAGCCATGAAAATAATATCATGTTGACATTTTTGTCGTCTTCTTTCTACGTATATAATATTTTTTGGATAGATTTATAAGGAAAGTAATTATTTTTTAAAATATTTTTTCTAAATATATTTATATAAAAATTATGAATATTAATATTATTAATTAAGTCTAATAACTTAATGAAATGATTATATTATATATTTAAATGTAATTATATAAATTTTATAAAAATATTTAAGATAAAAAATATTACTTGATTTTAAATATTAAAATATTATATCAAATGGTACAAATTAATGTGCCGAAATGATCAAAATATATATTAAAAAATTGACCAAAATAAAATTGAAAATATTTTTTGAATGGTATGATGCAATTACAAGTTGGTATCTATTCATAATAGAATTACACACCCTGTAGATGCGATTATTCGAATTCATAACTTTAAAAGAGAATAACATTCTCTTTAACCATTGAAATCTCTCAAAAGGTTCAAACATAAAATATTTTATACCGACTTAAGATTAAACATAATATATATATATATATATATATACCTATCCAAAATTTTAATTATCCATCTAATTTAAGATTAAACAAGGTGAGATTAATTTTGAACTGACCTGGATTAACTTATTTTATGTTGAAATTTAATTATAAAAATACTATAATTATTTAAAGATTAAGTGAATAATAAAACTCGTAAGCTTGAACTGGACAAAAGGGACCTAAACAAAAAAAATTAAATATAAAACTTTTTAAATATAATATAGTCTAATTCGATCCATAAATAACTCTAATTCAAAATCTACATGATTATGACTTTTTGAATAATGTTGTCATGTTAATGTCATTTCCTCGGGGGCAATAGAAGACTATACACGCCTATTTTAAAATAGGATAAAGTAAACAAATGGTTCTCCGATGATAATATATTATTTTATTAAGTCCCCTAATTATTAAAAATTATAAAAGGATCTCCAACTATAAGATAAAGTTTGTTAAGTCTATCGACTATTAAAATTTATAAAATG